AAAGGCAAAAGCAGGAGCTAATAATGCATTGACAGAGCAGTAAACTCTTGGATTGACCATGTATTCCAAATCACCAATGCCACTAGCCCCAAAGCAGTTTGGAATAAAATTTATTAAAACTTCTGAGTGCTGTGCATCTTTAACACATGTAATAAGAAGGGCTAGGAAGTTATGGAAGCCATTCAAGGGAAGTAACAGGCCTACTCTATTGCCTTGGTCAGAAGAAGAGGAGGAGTTTGGATTTGATATCCCACGTTATCACTACCCGAAGGAGTCTCAAAGCGGCTAACATTCTCCTTTCCCTTCCTCCTCCACAACAAACACTCTGTGAGGTGAGTGGGGCTGAGAGACTTCAAAGAAGTGTGACTAGCCCAAGGTCACCCAGCAGCTGCATGTGGAGGAGCGGAGACGTGAACCCGGTTCCCCAGATTACGAGACTGCCGCTCCTAACCACTACACCACACTGGGTTCGTAATTCTTTAGCTTGTTTATTAACACTCCCTTTTCTCTAGTGGGTTCCATGTGGAAATTTGGCCAAACTATAAGCTTATGCTCTTTGGCATTCCCATATTTTACACTGTACTCCCTATTATTGGGGATGTGTGTATACTGTCATTCCATCAGAGCCTGGGGGAAAGTGCAGAATTCAGTTTTGTAAGGCTGTCAAGGCTTGGTTTCCAGACCTTTGATTATCTTGGTCACCCTCCTCTGAACACGTTCCAGCTTGTCAACATCCTTCTTAAATTGTGGTGCCCAGAACTGGATACAGTACTCTAGGTGTAATCCAACCAAGGCAGAACAGAGCAGGACTACTGCTTCCCTTGACTGGGACATTAATGTTGATGCAGCCTAGAGTAGCATTAATTTTTTTGCTGATACATCACACTGTTGACTCATGTTAAGCTTGTGGTCTACTAAGATCCTTTTCACATGTACTACTGGCAAGCCAGGTGTTCCCCATCTTATGTTTGCAACTGGTTATTCGTGCCTAAGTTTATTCCTTACATTTGTCTCTATTGAATTTCATTTTATTAGTTTAGGTCTAGTTCTCCAATCTGTTAAGATCATACTGAATCCTGATTCTGTCTTCTGCAGCATTAGCTACCACTCCCAGTTTCATGTCATCTGCAAATTGGATTATCTTATCCTTGATTTGTCCAAGTCATTTATAAAGATGTTGAACAGCAACAGCAACAGGCACAGGACAGAACCCTGTGGCATCCCACTTGTCACTTTTCCAAGAGACAAGGAACCATTAGTGAGCACTCTGGGTTCGGTGAGTCAAGGAGCTACAAATCCATCTAACAGTTACCATGTCTAGCCCACACTTTACCAGCTTCTCCACATCATGGGGGACTTTGTCAAAAGCCTTTCTGAAATCAAGATACACCATGTCCACAGTATTCTCCTGATCCATCAAGCTTGTAACTCCATAAAAAAAAGAAATAAGATTCGTCTGGCATGACATATTTTTGAGAAACCCATGCTGGGTTTTTCCTTTTCTAAGTGCTTACAGATGCGACAGTTTAATTATCTGTTCTGGTATCAATGTCAAACTGACCAGTCGGTAGTTACCTGGATGCATGGGGATTTGAACTCTGCTTCTCAAACAAAAGTTAGATGAGAAGCAGTGTGGTGATATGGTCTCAGCTTTGAAGGTTTTAAAAATAAAATCCCCACGGTTCACCGACGTGCTTTTTTACATCTACATAGAAACCTCTGGCTGTTCTAAGGCATAACCAATGGGTTTAAAAGCGATCCTTTGCTTAAGAGCAGAAGAGGCTGTGGTAAACCGAGGTCCACCTCGTCCCAACATGCTTTGCAAGACGGCTACGGGGTGGGCTCTTCCCCAGAGCGCGGTTTTTTACCTCCTGCACAGAACTGCTGTTTTTTAAAGCCGTGCAAGAGGGAGGCAGGACGAGCGAAATGGCGGATAAAATAATAAGACATGGGAGGAGGAGGAGGAGGACGGGTGTCAGATTTATCGAAAGGGGGAGGGGGAGCGAGAAAGCAAGCTGCGGAGCTCGAGGGTTTGAATTGCCTCCCTCCCCCCTTTCCCTTTTGGCATAAGAAGCAAATCAAATTCAAGGCAAAGGAAGGTGGGGGTAACTTTTCCTGCGCAGGAGGATGCAGTTGAAAGTGGGTGTAACGCGCCTGCTTCCCTCCCTCCCAGAGCGATCGTGAACCAGCTTTAAAAGGTGGCAGCAGAGAAGAGGCTTTGATGGAGTAGGCGGATTCCATGGCTAAAAAGCTCCCTCGCCTTCAGTAACCGCGCTGGGTTGCTTTCGTTTTCTTCCCTGCATGAAGATTTCTCTCTCTCCCCACCCCCACCCCCCAATCTAAAAAGAAACGTCCCCCTCCTACACACACACACATTTTACACAGTGCTCTTGGCAACACTGGCTAGGGCTGTCTGCACTTCTAAAGCAGAGGTGGTGCCGCCCCGCCCCCTTTCCCTGTCAGCCCCCTTCCTATTGGGGGGGCATATGCGCCCCCCTTATTTAAATGCGTCCGGATTGGGCGCCCTCTCAGATAGCTTATAAACTAACGTGGGTAAAAGGGAATTTAAATTCTGCCCAAATTGGGGGGCGGGAAGGAGACTTAGCAGGCGGGATAAATCCATGGCATCCCGCGTGCGGAGCAAGATGCCTCCTGCCGCCGGTAGCTGCTCCCCGAAGGAAGTGTCCGTTGCCACCCAATCTGTTTCCAATCAAATCCGGAAAAGGAGAGGGGGGGGGGGACCAAGGTGCGCCTTGGCTGAAAAGGAGCCGCTGCACCAAACCGCCCCCACCCCGCGGCGCTGATCTTCCCCCCGGGAAAAAGGTAAAAGGCGGATCTACACGGATCCTCGTGAATTCATATGATTTTTTCATTCAAATTAAATAAAACCACCATGATATTGTAGACCATGTCTTACTCTGTAGAAAGCATCAAAAAAATCACGCATCCACTGTTTCGGGGGGGCGCAGGGGCGCAAAAACATGGTTAAAAAACACGGATCCTCATGGATCCTCATGATTTTTCCACTAGATCAGCCCAAAGTCACCATCAGATCAAAGATCATGGCCATGGGCACAGCATCCACCACAAAAATCACGGATCCACGGCTTCCTGGCGAAACCGTGGCCCAAAAACGTGGTTTTCAAGAACGGATCTTCATGGATCCACACGCTTTCTTTATCAGGCCAACCCAAACTCACCGTCAAATCACATATCATAGTAAGGGGCACAGCCTACACCACAAAAAACTCGGATCCACACCTGCCTGGCCACTCCCTGGCCCAAAAACGTTGGTTCCGAAGCACGGATCCTCATGAATCCTCATGATTTTTGCACTAGATCAGCCCAAAGACACCATCAGATCAAACATCATGGCCATGGGCACAGCATCCACCACAAAATCACAGATCCACGACTTCCTGGCGAAACCGTGGCCCAAAAACTTGGTTCCGAACCACAGATCCTCATGGATCCTCACGCTTTTTGCATCGGGCCACCCGAAACTCACCGTCAAATCACACATCATGTCCAGAGGCACAGCCTGCACCACAAAAATCACGGATCCACGGCTTCCTGACATACTGTGGCCCAAAAACGTGGTTTTGTTTTTTTAAAAAGATTTTTATTGCATTTTTTCAAACATAGACAGAAGAAAAGAAACAAAGAAAACAGACAAAAAGAAGATAAAAAGAATCATAACCCTTCAACAACTTATTTCAACTTTCTATCGAACTTCCCCGCATCTCCCACACAATGCATTCTTAACAATAAATTTATCAGCAAATTATAACCTTGTTTCATGTGATAAATTTATCAGCAAATTATAACCTTGTTTCGTGGTTTTGAAGCACAGATCCTCATGGATCCTCATGCTTCTTGCATCGGGCCACCCCAAACTCACCGTCAAATAACACATCATGTCCAGGGGCACAGCCTGCACCACAGAAAACTCGGATCCACGGCTTCCTGGCCACTCCATGGCCCAAAAACGTGGTTCCGAAGCACGGATCCTCATGGATCCTCACGCTTTTTGCATCGGGCCACCCCAAACTCACCCGTTCAAATCAACACATCATGTCCAGAGGCACAGCCTGCACCACAAAAAACTCGGATCCACGGATTCCTGGCCACTCCATGGCCCAAAAACGTGGTTTGAAGCACGGATCCTCATGGATCCTCACGCTTTTTGCACTAGATCAGCCCAAACTCACCATCAAATCACACATCATTCCCAGGGGCACAGCCTGCACCACAGAAAACTCGGATCCACGGCTTCCTGGCCACCCCATGGCCCAAAAACGTGGTTTCGAAGCACGGATCCTCATGGATCCATCACGCTTTTTGCATTGGGCCACCCCAAACTCACCGTCAAATCACACATCATGTCCAGAGGCACAGCCTGCACCACAAAAAACTCGGATCCACGCTTCCTGGCCCATCATGGCCCAAAAACGTGGTTCCGAAGCACGGATCCCAATGGATCCTCACGCTTTTTGCACTAGATCAGCCCAAACTCACCCATCAAATCAACATCATTCCCAGGGGCACAGCCTGCACCACAAAAAACTCAGATCCCACGGATTCCTGGCCACTCCATGGCCCAAAAACGTGGTTTTGAAGCACGGATCCTCATGGATCCTCACGCTTTTGCACTAGATCAGCCCAAACTCACATCAAATCACAACATCATTCCCAGGGGCACAGCCTGCACACAGAAAACTCGGATCCACGGGCTCCTGGCCACCCCATTGCCCCAAAAACGTGGTTTTTTTTTGAAGGACGTACCTCAAGGGGCAATCCTTCCATCTGGCAAGCTGATGTTTGTAATGGTGTGACTTGGAAGGGCGCACCACTCTTCCGTTCAGCGTGTGATTTGGGTGCTGGCCCAGTGATTCTATGGAAAGACGGGCATTAAGGGATGTTGAAGACTAGATGGCTGGTAAAGGAGAGGGAGTACAGAAGAGGAGGCAGAGTCACAGGCATATAGAGTACTATGCAAAATGCAGAACACCTTGGCCAGCATCCCTCTAAATCCAGGGGTGAGGAACCTTTTTGACTCCAGGGCCCAAATCCTCATTAGGATCAGCCTCGTGGGCCAAATTCTGCAGGTGGGTATGGTTGCTGATCTGTCAGTCACATGGCACATGATTGGTGGGTGGCCAACCTGGGGAAAAATGCAAGCCCTTTAAAACATTCTCCTGTCTTAAAGCTGCTAAGTGCCCTTTGAAGCAGCCTCCAAACCCTCCTTTAAATTGGAAGGCGAGAGATGCCTTAATGTGACGGGGGTTACAGCTGCTCCATGAGCCAATGGCAAAGCTTGATACAGAGTGGTATCGATTCACATATCCTTTTTTTTTATTAGCTGGAAGACATTGAGGTGACCATAGCAGATCACATCCAAAGGGTTCTGAAGCCAAATTTTGGAGCAGCCTGGGAAGAAGTTGGCGATGAGTTTGAAAAAGAGGAGACTTTCACGTTATCCACAGTGAAAACACTGGAAGGTAATATTTGTGGGGCTCTTGATATGCTTTCTCCCTCCCCCCCCCCCGAGTTTTTAAGTATTTTTTCTTGGATTCTGATATGGTCCCAATATATTTCTTTCCACAGAGGCAGTAGGCAATATTGTCAAATTTCTAGGGATGCAGCCCTGCGAGCGGTCAGATAAAGTGCCTGAAAACAAGAACTCTCATGCCTTGTACCTGGCAGGTGAGGAGTTGTGCTAATATATTGGTTTCAATTTTTGTGGTGATCCTAATGGGTATGGCTGAGTAAAGGTAAAGGTACCCCTGCCCGTACAGGCCAGTCGTGTCCGACTCTAGGGTTGTGCGCCCATCTCACTTAAGAGGCCGGGGGCCAGCGCTGTCCGAAGACACTTCCGGGTCACGTGGATAGCGTGACGAAGCTGCTCTGGCGAGCCAGCACCAGTGCCGCACACGGAAACGCCGTTTACCTTCCCGCTATAAAGCGGTACCTATTTATCTACTTGCACTTAGGGGTGCTTTTGAACTGCTAGGTGGGCAGGAGCTGGGACCGAAAGACGGGAGCTCACCCAGCCGCGGGGATTCGAACCGCCGACCATACGATCGGCAAGTCCTAGGCACTGAGGTTTTACCCACAGCGCCAAAGTATAACACTGGATAACTGTTAGCCAAAACATTATTAATGTAAGAGCCATTCTAATTTTCAGGTCTTTTTCTTTTTTTCTTTTTAAGTGTCGTATGTTTCTTTGGAATTTTAGTTTAATGCTCTCGAGGTAGCAGAGATGCAGAATTCTTCTAAGCATTTGACATGCTGATGGATAGCCTAATGCTATTGTCGTATTCATATCTACTACAGGTGTATTTCGGGGTGGCCATGATCTCTTGGTCCGTTCTCGTCTTGTCCTGACAGACACTGTGACAATGCAAGTCACAGCACGGAGTGGAGAAGAACTTCCTGTGGATGTTGTCATGGCCTCTGTTGGTTAAACACAATATAGGACTTGATATTTCAAACTCTGAAGCCAAAGGGGTTGTTGGAAATGTATCCCCACTACTCTGGACGCTGAGAGAATCATTAGAACATTAGCTCTTTTTCTAATTAGGTGGGGGGGAAACATTGTGTGAGTTTAAAGCTCGTCTTCAAAGTATGATCAGAGGTTTTCTGAGATACCGAACCAGTAATTTTTTTCAGGATCTCTAAACCATTTCAAAAGAGCATCCTTTTCATATCAAACTCTGCAGGATCCCAGTGCCTAAAGATGCTCACACCACCTCCTGTTGTAGTAACAGTGTGTCAGATCCTTTCTGTGATCAGTGAGAGCCCCTCCCATTATAGCAATTTCTATTAGTGTTTGACATGTTTTAAGCCCTTCAAAACAGATCATAAAGCTAAAAGCATGAATTTACTCTCATTGCTGCTACCAGTTTAGTTTCTTTATGGTGGCATTAAAACAGACCTTACCTGTATCCAATAAAATACAGTAACGCAAAAAGGCTGCCTTGGTATTCTCAAGAATTTGATAGGGAAAAAATGCCTCAGAGTAGTATCTCTTGCCCACATTAGAATGCAATTGCAACCACAGAGTACAAATTCAGTGGATCTATTACTTGTTCATATGAAAACTGACTGACTTCCCTTTCCATTAAGGATAGTTGACCCCAGTTTTTCTTTCATTAAAACAATTAAGTTATGCACAAATGTAAAAAGATGTTTCTGGTGGCAGTAATTGGCAGCAGAGAAGCAGCAGGGGTGATCCAGAGTAGAGAAACAGTGACTAGAGAAATGTTTAGCTTCTGACCCCACTATATTGCTCCTATTCACCCTCTACCAAAGCAGTTTTTCCATGCTAACAACAGCAAAATAAAGCAATTGGCCTACCATGTTACAGAGTTTGCTCCTAAAATAGGATGTCTCTTTTTTGTATTTTGCAGTATCTGGAAAAAAGAAATGGTCTAATAAATTGCTGATCATCAGATTGCTTCATTGATTGTAATGCAATTGTTTAAATAATTAGCCAGCATTTTATTTTATTGAAGGTACTTGGAGTTTTGTTTTATTTATACGTGCTAATATTGTGCTTTGTTCTACTCTGCATAATTTTGTACATAAAAGTTGTGCCATGTAAGCCAAGATTTAAACAGTATAGCGTTCTTTTTGAAAAGTATGTGGTTGGTAATTATGGTTGTGAAGGGGGTTGTGTACAACCACATTTCATCATTATATGGCTTTGGCAAGGAGAGGAATAGTTTTACAGAGAGCATGTAAGGGCAAGTTCACCCATAAGTTATATGCTCAGGCTTTACATTCAGCAAAGCTCCTGCCAGATCTGGTTCCTTCAGAGTCTACCTGCAGAGTCCATACATTTTCAAACACATCACTCATATTCACATTATCATTTATAGGGGTGTTGCCCCAAATACCTTGCATGTAGCTCAAAAAATGTGTGCAATGGCCCTAAGAATTGTCAAAGATGGCACCAGATATGTTCAGCATTAAATCACTTCTCTTCCATCTGCTTCAAACTCCCATTAGCAAGATGCCTTATATTAAGTCAGATCATTGGTTCATCTACTCCAGGATTGTCTACTCTTGAACAGCAGTGGCCCTCCTGGGTTTGAGATGGGTCTTTCCCATCCCTACCTGGAAATGCTAAGAATTGCACCTGGGAGTGTCCATTTGCAAAAGAGTTTGCTGTTCCACTGAGCTACAGTTCTCCCAGCAAGTCTCTTGCTGTGTTGTGATCATTCTCCCACCCCAGCAAATGCACATCTTCTGGTTTTGCCTTACACATTGTCTTTTCACAGCTCAGAGCTCTGATATTCAGGGCTTGTGGCGCCTGTTTTTATAGCTGTTGCTAAAGTCTGTCTTTGCATGGCAGTGGGCTATCCTGCGCCAGGAACATATCGCCTGGATTCGTCAGCTTGATTATATTTCTATACTCTGTTGATGAAGTCAGCCTGCTGTCCTTGTGCATTCAAAGCGTGTGGGGAAAGCACACAAACAGGGGGGGGGGGAGATAACCAAACAGAAAACAGCCAGGTGCAATGACTCTGCCAACATCACTTAATGGCCTGTAGAAAAAGAGAACAGGTTACCCTGGCAGAGGATGGATAATGTCAGGGTGGAATTCAGGGACAGGGAGGGCAGCCAGCCTACCTCCATGTTTTAAAGAGTGGCCTCACCCTTGGAGTCTCAATATTAAACCTTTTAATTGTCTTTGTTTAATAGAAATATATAGAACATATATAGAGATAACATAAGGGAAGATGACAGGGTCCCTAAGGATGTGCTCTATGGGGAGCTGGCTTCAGGCACCAGGCCTGTTGGCAGGCCAATTCCATGTTACCAAAATGTCTGCAAATGTGAGTTTAAAGGCAGGGAACATCAAGCCCGCTGTGTGGGAATCCCTTGTAGGACCTGGAGACCTGCAGGACCTGGAGACAAGCAGTCACGTCATATATCCATAGTAGTGACCAGAGGAGGAATGACCGCTAGGAAGAATGTAGAAGGAGGAAAGGCCATGATGCATCTGCAGTAGCACAACCGGATGCCTTCATCTGCCCCAGCTGCAACAAAACAGGTCTCACCTGTATCAGTTTCTACAGCCACAGCAGGCGCTATAGTTCTCCAACACATTGACTTCACCCCTGAAGGTGCACTCCTCCATTGTCTCCTGAGACAGACAGATGCCAACAAGCTTGCAAGGAATCATGGCCAATGTAGTAATTGCTGAGAGTGAATTCCTGTTTAATTATTATTTGTTGCTATTTTGAGAGTTAATTTTATTGCGTACTATCCTATTCTAATGCATTATTGAATATTACTTAATTTGATATAAGTTGTTTAAGTCTATTTTTATTACGATTTATTTGTATTGGATCAGATTGCTAAAAGATGTGTGATCTTTACTTTTTTCAGCTGTAAACCACCTTGTGTTAGTAATATAGAAAGGCGGTACGTATACAAATTAAAAGTGAAATGACATGAAAACAGGATATCCCAAGTGTGTGGCTCCATACTGCAACCCCAACTGCGATTTAAGTTAAGCCGCATTGAACATTGCGGGATATTGCGGGAACATGGCCTAAGATTGTGCTGGATAGTTTTACTGCAGAAATCCTGGGGCATACACGAGAAGCACACTTGGTAACATGCATTTTGGGACACGAATATTGCCTGTGGTTTCAGCTGCTTTGGCAATTACAATACTGTCATGATGAGTTTGTATAACCACCCTGGGTTCCTGCAGGAGAAAGGGTAACATAGGGTAAGGTAGAAATGCAATAATAATAGTAGCAATTATTATTAGTATTAGTATTATCATCAGCATCTCTATCCTACCCTTTCCCCTGCAGGAGCCCAGGGACGTTAATAATTGCCGCTATTATTATTATTATTAATGTTTTTATGTGGTGGAAGCCGCCCAGAGTGGCTGGGGAAACCCAGCCAGATAGGTGGGGTATAATTAATAATAATAATATAACAACAATTTTATTTAAAAGTGGGAGTGGGCCTTTCTTGGCATTCCCTTGGAAAAGGCCGAGTTGTAGAAACCCTAAGTGTGCCTGGTGTTGCACCTATGCAAGGAGGCAAGATCCCGAGGGGCCCCGAATCCTTTCCCCGCCCTCGCGCGCCCCTTCCTCGCTCTGCGGAGCGCAACGGCCCATTTCCGAGGCGGCGCTTTGAAAGGCCCGCCGGGGCGCGGCGACGGGGTGGAACCACCGGGCCGGGCTGCTGACGTCACCACCAGGCCCGGAGCCGGAGCTGCGACGACGCCGAGGAAGGCGCGAAAACCCCGCGAGCCGCCCCGGGAGGGAGAGCTCTCCCTCCGCCTCTTTCCCTTTCCCACCCCGTCACGCGAGAGCGGAGCGCGCGCGCACAAACACCCTAGCTGAGGCGAAGAGCCCTGCGGGGGGCGGGTTCCGACGTGCGAGTCCACACAGCGGGCGCCGTTTCGGGGCGAAGGTTGCCCTCCTTGCCAGCAGCTCTACAGTCCGCGCTTCTTTCCCTCGGCAAAGGTGGTCGCCGCCTTTTTCAGCCCTTAAAGACATCCCACAGGTAAGGAAGTTGCCCTCTCTCTCCCTTCCCCACCCTCCGTTGTTTCAGAGCTTCTCCTTTTTTTCTTTCTTAAACCAAGAGCGGAGATTCGTGAGGAGGGATAGTTTTCCCCTCTGTAATAATGCGTCTTTGTCAAGTTGCCCGTTCTGATGATGACTTTTTACTAGCTCAAATTTCAGTCTTTAAAAAAATATATGCAGGAAAGCTGTTATTTGCCACAAGGAAGTTAAACGTGGGCTAGAGGTGTCGCAGAAGAGCTGGATTAAGGGTTTTTTTGGGGGGGGGCTCTTTGCTGCAGCAGAGATAGGGCAGGTACCCACATCTGAACTTTTTCAGGAAGGGAGCCTATAATGATAGTGAGCTGTGAAGCTTTAGGGCTTACTGACAAATTAAAATTTAACATCACGTGCTCCAATAAGCTCTTAACTCGAATGTGAAATTGCTGATCATCTAACAAAAGTATGTGGCTTGTTTCTACTTTGGGCGTTAGTACCTGAGAACTAGAAAGTGGCTAATGTAGCAACATTTTTTAAAAAACAAAGAGGGATGTAAGGGAGAATCTAGGAAACTGTAGGCAGGTTAGCTTCTGTGTGAATGAGTGTAAAGGAAAATTTAAAATAGAATTATCAAACATATAGAAGAAGAAATCTTGCTGAAGAAAAATCTGCATAGTTTTTGCAAATGTTAGGTCCTGTGTCTCACTAACCTTTTAGAATTGTTTTAGAGTGTCAGCAAACATGTGGATAGGGGTGAACCAGTAGATATTGTGTACTTTCAAAAAGCTTTTGCCAGAGTCCCTCACCAAAGGCTTCTGAGTAAGCTTAGCAACCATGGTACCAGAAGACAAGTATCCTTATTGATTACTAACTTCTTAAAGAACAACCAGCAGAGAGTTGGAACAAATTGGCAGCTCTTAGAACAGAGGGATGTATGAAGTTGGGTTATTGGCATCTGTCTATCTTGAGAAACAATGGACTGTGCCTCTAGTGGTGAGATCAAACCACTGGAGAATCACAGCACCTGCTGCAGCTGCAGAGACAGGTAGCTTGTAACTTGCTGCCTCCCAAGGTTGTTTTTGCTACATTAGCAGCACCGAAGTGGCCTCTCTGGGGCACAAGCCTGGACACTGTAAATGGAGGTCCTGGGCTGTCCACACTACAAGATCTCCCTCTCAGCCCATCCTGGAATGATCTCTCCAGGAAGGCTTGGGATTCTATGAAAGGTGCACATCAAGGGCACATGGAATACTAGGATTTACTTCTCTGTGTTTGCATTTGTAGAACTGAGACATTGGAGACTGCAGGGGTGTCAGCCAGATTCATAGGCCTTTGGTCTGAGTACATCTGCTTTTTGCAGGCCACTGAAGAATGTGTGGGCGAACAGCTGTTGTACTGGGAGCAGATCGTATCCGCCGTGCCTGTGAATACCGTGATAATCAAGGAAAGAGAAGGTGTCCAGAATGGAAAAATGCTGACAAATATAGTCCATCCTACAATAAGAGCCCACAGTCTAATAGCCCTGTGCTTCTCTCCCGACAACACTTTGAAAAGGTGAACCCCCCAAATATTAGATTTGTGCTTAACATAACTTTCTGGTCAGCTACTGTTACATCTATAGGTGCTTTATGTTAGCTTTGCGAGATCATAATTTCACAAATAAGGGGAACTGTGACTGTCTGCTCAGTGGAGCATTTGTGTTCCAAAATTAGAGACACCTGTTATATTCTGTAAGTCTAATCATCTAGAATAGAGAGCTTCTGAAGAAGCAGTCTTTCAGAGTAAGACATTTACCACTCTTTGCTTTATACGTGAGGCCAAATTTTGACCAATCCATCTTTATTTAAGACAGAGATGTGGAACTTGTGTTGCTGGGCTCCAACTCCCATCAGACCCAAGTTGCATGGCCAGTGGTCAGGAATCCTGGGAATTTTCATTCAACAATGTATAGAGAGCCACAGGTTTTCCCATCCCTGATTTAGGGCATTATGGTCAATGTTGCCTTCATCAATGACTCCAGCAATGAAGCATGGTTGTAATAATCTTTAGTGTTCACTGTGTTTCCAGTATTGCTGAGGGAAGTGAGAGATCAGCCAGATCAGCCAGAGATGATTATTTATCTGTAATGGAGCATTACAGTCTAAGCAGGCTTCTCTGCACTACCTTGTTTCCACAGGGTGCTATAATTGTGTGTGGTGGTGGTGGTGTTGTTTAAAAAACAAATTCCTGCTCCAGCACACAGACAAATACAATATTGGACTGGTGGTTAATTATGTTTTCTGATTTGCAATAAAGCTGAGTTCTCAAATCTTGGAAGATAAGCACTTGTTCTGACACGTTTTCACTCACAGTACAAGAGTAAAAAAGGAAAAAAGTGAATTTTAAAATAATCTGTGTCTCAAAATAGTATAAATGCACAAACCTGAAGCCCCCGCCCTGTCACCTTTTCAAACCAAAAATTTGCAATTCATTTCCTCTTTCATTTTCCTGCCTAGACAGGAAGCTGCCCGAAGTGCTTGTGGTTTATTAGTTCTTTCTCAAATGCACATACCAAAGGTATGCTCTTGTTGGCCAGAGGAGCACAACATAATTGCCTTGTCTAGGCAGAAGAAGAGGGTGTATATGCAGCAGTGTCAAGTGGATTTCAAAACAGCAGGGAGGTCAGGCAAGTTGGAGGAGTGAATGAGTGTCTGGAGTCTTCAGTACACTGCTCTTCTACCACGGATGTCAATAAACATTTGCTACACTGTATTCCTTAACAAACTAGTTTCAGTGGTATTTACCATTAAGGAAAAGGTATCATACATATTGATTTAATATTGAATTAGAGCTTGTGCTGTATTTTCTGATGTTTACATGTGTATGCATGCTGTAAAATCTCAGACCAGTAAGACTATTTTGGTATTTGTTTTCATTGAAACCATTTTAAAAGTTGCCCTCGGGATAACACCGAAACTGAATTTGAATAGAAACTGGCAAACAGAGAAATGAAACCCGTTGGTCTGTTTCAATTGTTTCAACTGAGAAAAATGAAAGAAATGACTCATAAAAACTGGAAGGTACATTGTGAAGAGGGTAAAATAGCAGATTTCAAATTCTGACAGCAGAATCCTACGCACGTTTACTCAAAATTAAATCCCACTATCTGTTCTACTTGCCTGTTTTCAAATGGTATTTTTAACGTGACTTGCCTGGCTATAACTCATGTCTAATTTACTTCAGCAGGACCCTTGCATTTTGTTGGTTCCTTCTGTAACTTTTTGTTTGTTTGTTTGTTTTAAAAGATATTTATTAAAGATTTAAACAATAAAACCAAACTTCACATTCACAACCAGATAGGAAAAAGGGGAAAAAAACCATCACAATCAATCAAGAAATAAATAAAAAAAAATACAATCAAAAAACCCCCTAAAAAATAGAAGAAAAAAGACATAAAAAAGAAATAAAAAACCAGTTTCTTAGTTATTGTTCTCATAAGCCTCCTTCCAGACTCCCTCACATCTCCCTTTTCTGTGTTCCCTTTTACACAATCTTATTCAGCAATGCCTCACCTTCTTTCAAATCTTATTTTGTATTATACATTTCAACTATTATGTCTCCAATTTTTCCCTTTATTATCAGTTATTTTAAATTTGTAACTATTGTAGTCATATAGTAGGGTCTCATCACAACACAGAATTAGAGCAATGAATCCCAGAGCTCTTATAAAGTGATAATTAACTTGCTGCCTTCTTTTTAATAATATAAACTTGGTATTTTTGTCAGTAACTGACTTGATTAGAATCACTTTGTTTATATAATGAGAGACCAATGTAGAAATCTAGTACACCCTTTCACCCCAATTCTACCTAGGAGGTATAAGTGTATAGAATTTTGCATCTCTAACTGGATAAAGAGCTGCTTGTACAAACAGGTGCTCCACACATGTTTTCCAAATCCGAACACCTGGGGCTGTGCACCCAGCCCCATTTTAAGAAAGGTAAAAATCCCTCCAGTTTGGAAAGGTGAATTTATCAACCATTTTCTGCATTCCAACATGATTTTTCAGCAGGAATTTTGCTGTTTTCTGTGTTCACACTGTGCACACTGATTACTCTGAAATCTTCTTTCTGTGTTTTTGGATGCTTCTCAATATTTCTTCCTGTTTCCACTTAATTAAAGGATGCCAACTCTTCTGAACGTGTCCTTGTAGCTATGCGTTGGGGGCTGGTTCCAGCCTGGTTTAAGGAAGCTGACCCATCTAAAATGCAGTATAACACTGCAAATTGTCGGAGTGATACCATGATGGAGAAACTTTCCCTACAAGGTTAGTTTTTGTGTAGCCTTCCATTTGAAAATAAACTTTTTTTTTGGGGGGGGGGAAAGTCTGTCTCCTCCTGGCCATGCTATTTACGGTATGTCTTTTGAGCTATACACAAAAAGTGAAGCTTTTTTCCTAGAGGTATTCATTAACAGTTGCCTTGCCGCACCAAATGTAAACAATTCTGAACTGCATGCTGTGAACACAGCATCATGATTTTCCTGAAAGGGAAGAGCCAGCAGGTGATAGCATTTCACATGCTGTGCTTGACAGAGCAGCTTCAAGATAACTGGCTGTTTGGTATCTGTGCAGGTTCGATTAGAGAAAGAACATAAGTAATGTTGCTGGTATGGGAGGCTTTGGGAAATACAATAGCAGAAGTCTATGAAAACTCACGGGAAAAACGGTTTGCTCTGAATACTGACACCTCTTTCCATTTGCATCCCACCAACTTCATGCACACAAATGGAGGGTCTCTATTGGGGGGGAAGCAAAGGGTCATGAAGTAACATGCATTCGACTGAGGAAATGAGAGATCACATTGGAAAGTTAACCCTCCTTGTTTCTCTGTAACTCATTTATTCATTCATTCTGTCAGATTTCTTACCCACCCTTTCACCAAAATGTCCCAAGGCAGGTAACAATATAATCATACCATTATAAAAACAGGTAAACAATTCCAAACAAAAACAGCTCAGTATAGATTAAACAAAATGGTGGGTCCTCAAAAACCAAATACCCTCACTATCAAAGTCTAGAGTAATAATAATAATAATAATAATAATAATAATAATTTATTATTTGTACCCCGCCCATCTGGCTGGGTTCCCAGCCACTCTGGGCGGCTTCCAACAAAGATGAAAGATACACTAAAATGTCACCATATTAAAAACTTCCCTGAACAGGGCTGCCTTCAGATGTCTTCTGAATGTCAGGTAGTTGTTTATCGCTTTGACATCTGATTGGAGGGCGTTCCACAGTGCGGGCGCCACTACTGAGAAGGCCTCTGCCTGGGTTCCCTGCAACTTGGCCTCTCACAGTGAGGGAACCACCAGAAGGCCCTCGGAGCTGGACCTCAGTGTCCGGGCAGAAACAATGGGGGAGGAGACGCTCCTTCAGATATACTGGGACCGAGGCCGTTTAGGGCTTTAAAGGTCAGCACCGAACACTTTGAATTGTGCTCGGAAACGTACTGGGAGCCAATGTAGGTCTTTCAAGACCGGTGTTATATGGGTCTCGGCGGCCGCTCCCAGTCACCAGTCTAGCTGCCGCATTCTGGATTAGTTGTAGTTTCCGGGTCACCTTCAAAAGGTAGCCCCACGTAGAGCGCATTGCAGTAGTCCAAGCGGGAGATAACCAGAGCCAGTGTACACTCTGGCGAAGACAGTCCTGCAGGCAGATAGGGTCTCAGCCTACATACCAGATGGAGCTGGTAAACAGCTGCCCTGGATACAGATTTGACCTGTGCCTCCAATGGACAGCTGTGAGTCCAAAATGACTCCCAGGCTGCGCACTGCTGGTCCTTCAGGGGCACAGTTACCCCATTCAGGACCAGGGAAACCTTCATACCTGCTCGCCTCCTGTCCCCCAAAAACAGTACTTCTGTCTTGTCAGGAATTCAACCTCAATCTGTTAGCTGCCATCCATCCTCCAAGAGTCAAGATGTATGTATTCAGCATATAGCAGAAGCTACATGATAAAAATCCTAGACACACCTCTGCGGAGAGAGAGTTTCCACAACAGAGAGGGGCCCACTTCTGACCACCTTTTCCTGCACTTTTGAAGAATGGTGGAACTATCAAGAGAAGCCCCTTCTGCCAATCTTAACACCTGGGAGTCTTTTCCTGCAGCAGCACAAGTCATCATCTTAACTGTGGAAGAGCCCGCTCAAGGGCATGTTGCCATCACACAGCAGTTTAGTCGATGTTTAGGAGGGGAAACCTCATTGTTCCTCTCATTTTCCAGCCTATAGACACATTCCATACTTTTCCCCCATACTATATTTTCCAGCCTAAAATCTCTCATTTTCCAGCCTATAGACACGTTCCATACTTCAACACTTCCTTTTTATTTCTGAGCACAGTAAATGCCCTAAAAATAGCGAAACCCCTTGACTCAGTATTATGTAGAAGTTGGAATAGGTCATGGATAAGCTTCTCTCAGAGCATGCTAGACAGTGCCTTTCAGCACGTAGATGGGTGTCTTTCTCTGATCATTAAGTAGCATTCTCAAACACTTGTTCATTAATGTTGGATTCGGGAATACAGGCTTGAACCTTTTTTCAGTTCTCTGAAATGGATCATGGTATTGCACCCGTTCCCAGGATGAAATCATTTGCTGGAGAGGTGTTGCAAAGCTGTCTTATGTGAAATGATTTCACCAGTGAAAGTGCCTTAGCACTCAGAAAGTGTAAGTCGCATTGGTGCTAGGAATAAAAGAGCTTTCATATGAAACGGTTGGTGCATCTGACTCCTGAGAAATTGGAGAATTTGCACCATTGCAAAATACAAATTTAATTAACAACAACAGAATGCAGGTGGTATGGTGCTTGTTGGCAGCAAGACTGTTTCTCCCCAGTTTCTCCACCTGCTTCGCAGCTCCTTTTGAGAGCCTTTAAATGCAGATCAGCTAACTTTGTTGCCAGATTCTTCCGTTCCAAAACAACAACACTGAACTGCCTCTCACTATGTTGCTGTCACAATCTGGGCTCTTAAGAGCAGAACTGAGCAAAGTGCACTGGACCCTTTTTTTCCTCCAGTGGAATATCCTTGCTGCAATTGCACATGCTGCCAACTTTTTGTGAGAATTTTGTGTGATGCTCCGATAGTGTGATTCCTGTCAGCTCTTCCATCCTAATTTCTCTGACTACTTCTCGGAACAGGAGCATGGCAAACCTTGGGGATTCCTCCCTGTTGCTCTCCTACCTTTTTCTATGTTACAGGTGTGTGCTCCTCTTTTAATAGGTGGCTTTGTTTTAATAAAAATTCAGCTTTAGAAATGTACTACATTCTATCCTAAAAATAAGATTTGTCCTCAAATCTTCATGTAGAGGCACAAATAAGACACATAAGAGACCTTGTGGGAAAGTGGCCTAAATTATCATCTACACTTCTGGCAGGGATGAGAGGCTTGTGTAAGGAAGGCCACATCTCTGAGATCAGTAAAAGCATCTGTTAGGCTGATAATGTGAATTAGAAAGGTGTAACAGCCAGAACCAGAGTAGAGAAAAATACAAATAAGCACTCTAAAGGGATGGTAAGGATTCTTAAACATGACTTGTAAGTGGAAAGCTCACAAACACTCATTAAGGAGCAGAATGATAGGGGATAGGGGAATTGTTCCTCACACTCCGTATATGTAGAAACCGTTGCAATAGTATCCCCAAAAAGCACCTGAGCTGCACCAGGAACTATCACAATTGTAGGACTGTTGCCAATCACCACCATTTTAGAATCCCTGTTGTGTTAGGAATGTCATTGGGTCAATAAGTGTAGATGTAGTAATTAAATTTCTGTTTCCTTCCAAGGATTGTAGTGAAAACAAATGAGTCTGTCAATTTTGTCAACAGCTCCATGCGAATTCACATTTGCTCTGAAGATCATTTCTTTAGAATCCTATGTGATACTATTAAAGTTGTCCCATCCCAAATGTTTGTTTTTAACTATTTGACGTTGCTATTTGCATGAATTACCGGTAATAAAACTTGCTCCCCCTTCCCTACATCTCTCTCTCTCTCTCTCTCTCTTTCTTTCTTTCTTTCTTTCTTTCTTTCTTTCTTTCTTTCTCTTTCTCTCTCTCTCTCTCTCTCTCTCTCTGAAAAGGGGCCTCTGTTAAAAGGCAAACGCTGCGTTGTGCTGGCTGATGGCTACTACGAATGGCAACAACAAAATGGGCAGAAGCAGCCCTATTTCATTTACTTCCCCCAGACCGAGGATAAAAAGGTACAACAGCAATACGTTCATATTTAATGGTGAAGTGCTCATTGGCTCTTTCATTTTCATTTACTTTCCCTCGAACTCTTAACTTGCTTCAGAAGGTTTTGGCTTTATTATTTTGGTCAGACTGCCTTTCCCCATGAAGCAAGGCCACCTGAGGGTAGCTGTTGCTGAAGGTCATACATTTCTGTTCTCCCTTGGCCATGCTGAAAGTTCAGCATAACAGTATGTCGGAATTGTTCATCTTTTATACATGTAATTTTTATTATTTCATTTCTGAATCTCTTCCCATGAGGCTTCCTGAAGCAATTTACAATATTTAAAGTGTTTTTGCATTGCCGTTCATTTCAAAATTCCCAGGACAGTTTAAAATAACTGAATTCTTTTAGTTACTAAAAGAGTACAATAGAATGCTAAAAGCAATTGCAGCAAAGTGCAGAATACATCACAGGTTAAACCCATAGGAAGAAATGGGTATTTGCCTTGCACCTAAAAAGAAACAAAAAGGGCAAACCTCCCTAACATGAGAATACCGCTCTCCCATAGCCACCCAGAGGCAGATTTAGTGGTGTGTGACCCAATTCATTTGCACTGGGTGTGGAGTCTCAGGGGTGCCGCAACTTTGATGTAGAATGGAAGGGGGGGGCACTGAATTTTGGCATTTCACAGGGTGCTGCTGAAATTCGAAACCCCAAGATGTGCCCCTGTAGCCACACAACTCACTACAAATCATAAAGGGAACCAGAAGAAGACCCTCTGAGAAGATACTGGCAGGTTGAGGTGGGAAATGTTTACTTAAGTAGCCAGGTCCCAAGCCATGCAAGGGTTTAAAAGTAAGCACCATCAGTTTGAATTGTGCGCAGAAATAGACCAGAATCCAGTGGATCTCTTAAAGAACTAATGAGTAGTGGTTACAATTCCTGGTTCCCAGTTAGTAGCCAGGCTGCTGTGTTCTGAACGAAAAGCAGTCCTGAGAGTCTTCAAACACAGCTGCATGTACAACATGTTACTGTAATAAAAGGTTACCAGGGCATGGATAAGTGCAGGTGGTTTGTTTTATCCCAAAGGGGTGCAGCTAGTGTACCAGCTTCAGTAGATGAACAGGCTCCATGCTGTTGCGACCACTTTATCCTCTAGTACAGGGGTAGCAAATGAGGTGTCCTGCAGATGTTGTTGGACTCTAACTCCCTATCAACGCCAGCATTGCCAGTGGTCAGGGCTGATGGGAATTATAATTTAGTAAAATATGGAGGGCACCACACTGGCTACTCTGCTCTGGTGACATAGCTAGAGCAATGGGCCTTTCTAACTAGATCAAAGCACGTTGGGAGCTGACTAGAACACAAGTGGCAGAAGTCTCTAGGG